TTTCTGTTGAGCTCTTTTTCTGTCATTAGTTGTCAGTTTGTCTTCTTCATTTTGTTTTCTGCTCCATTCATTGTGGCCTCTCTGCCGCTACTTCTGGATTCTTCGTATTTTTCTTTTTTAGAATATCTTGCAGTATTCTCTGTAGAGTTGAATTGGTGGTTGCAAATTCCCCTAGTTCCTCTTTATCCTGGAAGCACCTTGTTTTTCCATCAATTTCCAGGGATAGTTGTGCAGGATATATCAACCTTGGCTGGAGATTATTATCTTTCAAAGCTTGAATTATTTCCCCCCACGCTGTTCGTGATTTGATGGTTTGTGCCGAGAAGTCTGCTGTAATTCTGATGGGTGTTCCCTTGTAAGTGATCTGTTTCTTGTCTCTGACGGCTTTTAGTATTCTGTTCTTGTATTGGATTTCTGGAATTTTTATTATTATATGCCTGGGTGTAGCTCTGTTTGGGTTGTAGATGGCTGGGGTCCTGTATGCTTCATACAACTGAGTATCTTTACCTTTTGCTAAATTAGGAAAATTCTCCTGGATTATTTCTGTGAGTAGCTTTTGTAGTTCATTTGTTTGTGTCCCTACTTCTTTTATGTTCTTAATTTTTAAGTTATAGGCCCTCTTATCATCTTCTAGTCTTTGTATTATTGCTGTTTGTTTCTTTGTTATTTTTAAGAAGTTTTTCATTTCATGCTCCCATATTACAAATCTGCGCTCCAGTTCAGATAATTTGTCCTTAGTTTCTTTCAAGCTGTTATGCCAGTTTTCGATAGACTTTTTAGTTTCCTGGTATTCTCTTTGAACCTGCTTCACATATTTTATGCTTTCTGTATTTTCTCCATTAAACAATTCTCCCCTCTTTTTCTGTTCTTCCATTCCACCATCTGTTTTTTCTTGGGTGGTGCTTAGCATTTCTCTAACTATTCTGCTTATGTCTAGCTTCAGGTCATCAATAACTTCATTCCTGAACTTGTCTATGAAGCTCTCGAGATAGCACTTTATGTCTATTGGTGCTGTGTCTGCTGTTGCCTGTTTCTCAGGATTGGGGGCCGAGGACCCTTTTTTGTTGCTGCCTCTTCCCATATTCTTTGTTCCTTATATATGCAAGCGTATATAGGAGGCCCAGCTTCCTTCCCTGTCAGTCACAGTCTGATGGAATTTCCCCGGCTAGGTGTTCCCGCCCACCTCAGCACACCAGGAAGTTGCAGATCAGGCAGCCTACGCGGGGCCCGCCCCCTCCAGGCCACCCTCAGGCTCTGGGATCTGGGTTGGGCTAGCTTACTGGGTCCGCCAGCAGTGTCATGTAGGCTAGGCACTTCTCACCAATCCCGCTTGAGAGTCTGCGGAGTCCCAGAATGTCCTCCGCTGGAGTCAAACTGTGGTAGAGTGTCAGTTTCTCTCACTCACCTCACCACAAGTCAGTGCACGGCTCCACGCCCGTCCCGCTCTCAACTCCGTTCACCGATTCCCGTTCTCAGAGCTTCCACGCGTCTCTCTCCCTGCTGAGCCGATGTAGACACAGCCACCGTGCGGCGGGAAACCGAAATCCAGGCTTCCAATGGCGCGGGCTCCAGCCTCCACACTGAGGCTTTTCTGTTCCTGTTCTAGCACCTGGACTGCATTCCAAGTTGGTTTCTTTCATCCCCGTTCGTTCCTGGGTCAGCAGAGCATATCTCCACCTGCTTATGAGTCCTTACTCCACACCATTCCTGAATTATGAGCCAAGTCTTTCAGAGAGCCTCCGTAGCTGCTGTTATCTGTCCGCCATGTTCTCCCGGAACTAAAATTTTATTTTAAAGAAAATAAAACAAACAAAATAAAACAATAAACCAAATCAAAACAATATAGTGAAAGTGATAAAAAAGAAAAAAAAAGTGATGCAGAACTTCAAAATAGGATTAATAGGAAATCAACAGTGGCTACCATAATGTATCTTATTATCTTCAAAATAGTCATCCATACCATCATATATAATAAGATCAGATAAAACAAAGCAGAATAAAACCATTCAAAACAGAACACTGAATAAAACAAGACAAATCAGAACAAACAAAATGAATGATATTGGATTTTAAAAATAAAAGAGAAGGAAATCCCCCATTTGCTATATGGCTTATTGTTATCCTCTGAATAGATGCTCAGCCTGCAAAGGCAATCAAGCAATGCAAATGTTTAGTTGTTTTTGTACCTCAGCCCATCCTCCAAATCAGCTAGTTGCTTATGGGGAGGGTAGGAGGATGCAAGGTGTTCTTGATTCTCAGCCCATGCACTGGTCAGCTCATGGGAAGGGCAAACTGGCTTCTTTTTGTGACCTCCCAGACCCAGCATGGCTTCTGCTGACTCATGGGAAGGGCAAACTGACTTGTCTCTCTTCCTGGAAACCTTTTCTTTTTTGAGTTGTGTATGTCAAGTATTTAATCCCAGCATATTCATCACTTTCCTATTGTGAGGAGAAAAATACCTGATATCCACAGTTTAGAGGAGGAGAGGGTTATTTTGGCCTTGATTTCAGTCCATGATTATCTGGCTCCATGCCAGAAATGGCATGGTTGGAAAGGCTTGGCAGAGGGTAGCTGCTCATCCATGGTAGCCAGGAAGCAAAGAGCTCAATGAATTATTTTATTAATTAGCTATGTAAAACTTTTGTTCTTGTAGACAAAGATAACACTGAGTAAATCTTTTGTTTAACTTTATTTTTATTTGTCACACATATTGATCACATCATAGGAAGTTTGTTCCTGTATGTAATATGTCTTAATTCTTTTTTTACCCATTCCCCCTCCGTTCCTTCAACTCTTTGCCTTCCCATTTACACAAGCTTTGTTTCCATTTTTTCCTTCAATTCTTGTTTTTTCCTTTCCCTTCCTTCCGTTCCCATTTGAGCACTTTCTTCCTGCCTCCCAAGTTACTCTTGGGGTTTCTCATATAAGAGAAACAATGCAATATTTAACTTGTACATCCAATTTATTTCACTTCAGATTATGATCTTTTCCTATAAATGAGTCAAGTTTATCTTTCTTTTTTTTTTTTAAATTGGTACCAGGAATCAAACTCACGACCTTGCACTTGTCAGACAGGTGCTGTGTGGCCAAGCTTTTGAATAAATAAATTGTGTAAAAATTTGTTAGTTTTTGTTCTTTAGAGAATTTTGGGGAGCCTCTTGGTACTTAGAGCAATCAATAGCTGGTCAACACTCCAGAAAACTCATGTAATAGAACAAGTGGTTAGGGCGGGGATTTAGCTCAGTGGCATAAGTGCCTGCCTTGCAAGCACGCAGTTGTGAGTTTGATCCCCAGTACCAAAAATAAAACAGGTGATTGAAACAATTTGACTTCAGCTGTTATAATCTCTACTGCTGGCTTTTGTCTTTTTCATTTATTCATCTTTTTGATACTAATATCTACTTTGTATATGTGGTAATTGTCTAACTTGAAAATATTTTTTATTTTCAAATTTAAAAAATAATAAATTAAAGCTGTGTGTATTTCTAAGCATCTTCGTTGCATCCACACATTTTGAACTGTGAATGCTTTTCTTATCATTTGTTGCTAAAGATTATATTCATTATATTTTCTGGTCAAATCCATATTATTTAAGAATATGCATTTTAACATTGAACTTTTTTTCCATTGATTGCATTATTTTAGATCTACCATTCCATTATTAGAATGTGTTCAATATGATAAAAATTATTGAAATTTCTTCAATAATCTGGTCCATAGTTATTTCTATAAACACTCTATTTGTACTTCTGTGTGTTCTACTTGTTAGCTAAGTCTCTGATTCCATATTTAGTCTGAATTACTAGTGCAGATAAAAGTTTCAAACATTGAACTTATCTGTTTGTGATGGATTCACAATCAGTGGTCAATTTGTAAGATCCAGCTGAACTGAATCAGCGTGGCACTGGGTGTGGAAGGCCCACCTGAGAATTTTTGCCAACAGCATAAAAGCAGAACTGGAGGGGAAGATGGTGCTGTAGATTCTCCTGGAGAAGCTTGTCATACTGGCTTTCCTGATACCAACTTGGTTGTTATCAGAGGAGCTCAGGTCCTCGCTGTTACTGAAGATGGTTGTGGTTCTTTTTGGGAAAACTCTGGCCCTTACTTTGACAGTCACTTCTTGGCTCCAGTGAAAAATCCTTCGGCCTGCTGGCACAGATTCTTCACCCCACTGGCACAGACTTTCTGGTTTCTGCCATTGATCTTTGGGCCTTCCCAGTTCAGATCCTTGATATGTACTTGCATGAGACATTGTTGTGGGCTCTAGGCCTCCAGCTGGACTTGTGGAGAACATTGTGATCAGATCCATAACTTCAGCTGAGTTCTTTGGGTCTCTAAGTGTGTGGACAGATCTACACTCTTGCATTTGACTCTTGGGTGAATATTATGAAATAATCCTATAAATTTTGTGACCTGTGTTAATTCTTTTTTCCTTGTAAACCCTGACTACAACACTGTCTATGCCCTTAGTAAAATCATCTTAAAGAATCAAGTAAGGACTGATTAAGGATATGAAGGAACTTTACCTTAGGCTTAAAAACAGAATTTAAAATTTATCAGTTTTAAGGGCCAAAGATACAAATTGGTAATAGAACACATGCTTAGTATGAGCAAAGCTCTAGGTTTGATCCCTTACACCACAAAACAAACAAATACATATGCAAATTTTAAAATAAAACTTTTTCTGCTTTTGAAATTACCAAGATAGCAATAAGTAGCAACAGAAGCTGTAGTAGTGTTGATGCTAATAGCAATGGTAACAGAAGCAGCTAACATTTTTTTTGACTTAACTCTGTGCCAGGCATCAGTCAAACCTCTTTAAATCTGTTAATGAATTTAACCTAATAACAGCTCTTGAGATATTGCTCACCTCATTTAATAGGTGAGAAGAGACACCAAAAGTTTAATATGTTTGCCATAGTTACATTGTAGTAAAACTGGCTTTAAAAAGGTGAGCTTGTTCAGCTGAACATGCACAAATTAAGTTTTTTCCTTTTTAGTTACTAGAAAAATTGAAAGAACGCTGGATCTCCACTGGTTTATGGCATAATCTGGAATTGGTGAAGACAGTCATTGTAGAACCACAAAGAGGAGAAAAAACTGATTTTGATGAATTACTGCAGGTGTACTATGATGCAATCAAATACAGGGGAGAGAAAGGTAATTGGAAATTACTTCATAGTCAGTGAGGAAATGTTTTATCAAGAAGTAAAAAGGTTGTTAGAATTTCATTTATATTCATTTGTAAATAAGTTGCACTTAAGCGAAAAATATTTTATAATCTTAGATGAAAGTTAGGATTCTTTTTGTTTGGCACTGACTTCCTATTATTCATCTTTACGAAGCAGCATGCATTCATGTATTGTCCTGTAGTTTTCCTTACATCACCTCAGCTATTTTGTGTAAGAAGACAATTGGGATATATACAGATATCTTCCTTCTAGATAAAAAGGACATATGTTTTGATGTAAATAATATATTTTATTTGAAATGATAAGCTTGAGTTTCCAAAACATATTGAGGACCTGACTTCCAGATTACAGATTGTCTATATAGAGATTGATGTGAAGAGCTAATAGCAATAGCTTAGGAACAGTGCAACAAAGAAGATACTGTAACATAATTATCAGTATCTTTTTTTAATGAGTTTAATGATAAGAATATAAATAATGTTTTGTCTGTTTTAACTGCTTTTCAATATAATATTGATTTAATCTGATAGTATTAAATCAGAGTTATTTAAATTTTCTGAGAATTATTTTCTGATGATAAAGGTAATGATGGAAACTTCTATTTTTGAGTTCATACTTGATCACTTCATGTGCAGATTGCTACTCTGGTGTGGTTTTAGTGTGTAAGTTACCTGGAAGATTCACAGTTTAAAAATTGGTTTGCTCTATATTGCTTACAATTTTGTTTTCTTTACTTAAAGACAAAGAACTTTTAAACTGTATCTTACAATCATGTTTAGTTTGATTATTTTAAATGTTTGTTAATAAGGACACTTACAGTTAGTCTTTTATAAATAACCAGAATAAGCAGCTTTTGAGAATTTTGAGTGTGCTTTTTAAAATGTTTATTTTCTGTTGTTTAAGATGGAGCCCTTCTTGTAGCAGTTTGTCGTGGTAAAGTGAGTGAAGGTCTGGATTTTTCAGATGACAATGCCCGTGCTGTCATAACAATAGGAATTCCTTTTCCAAATGTGAAAGATCTACAGGTAGGCCACCCAAACATCAAGAAATTGTGTTATAGAAGTCATTGGTTTAGTGTCAAATTAATTATACTTTTTTTCTTGAATCCTTAGACATTTTATATCTATGGGTAATCTAAATGAATGAAGAGATTAATTTTCAAAGTGTGGTCCCAGATCAGGAGCATCAGTGTACTCTGGGAACTTGATAGAAATTCAGATTTTCAGGCTCAATTCAACCTGTTTAATCAGAAATGCTTGCTGTGGAGCCCTATAATTTGTGTATTGTCAAGTTCTTCCTGCACAACCTCAGAGCTTCTCCACAGAATTGTATGGTCCATTCTCCTGCTAACTCCCTTCCTTATAATGCAGTAACTTGCAGATTTCATAATTTTAGCTGCTCCAATTTCCAATCTCTTTCATTTCAGCTAAATAGCACCTGACATTCTATTTGTACTTTAGTATTACATACTGTGGTTGTGAAATTATACCTAAAAAGAGATTTGGGAATGATGGAGTTTTCCTGATGAATTCCCCAAATCTCCAGGATTATAGTCTTGTGCTGTCTGGTGTCTATTTCCTGAAAGCAGTTGTTCTACTTTGTTTTCCTATTACTTAAAATAAGAGTTATTTCCAAACCAGTCACTTAATCTTCGCCAAAAAGAGTTTTGTTTCATTATCACTGCTTATTTCTGAAACACTATGTTTACAAAGATGATTTATAATAGTAATTTAACACATAAGTAAGGCTGGGAATGGTGGCACATTCCTGTAATCCTAACACTCTGGAGGCTGAGGCAGGAGGATCACTTGGGTGCAAGGCCAGTCTGGGCTGTATACTGAGTTCAAGATCAGTCTGAACAATATTGCAAGACCCTGTCTCAAAACAACCAGAAAAAAAAAAAAGTTTAAATTTACATAATAGAGTTTTCTGGAGAAACAGAACCAGGAGAGAGACAGAGACAAAGAAAGATTGGGATTTCAAGATTGGCTCACATGATCACAGAGACTGAAAAGTTCCACAGTGACCATTCACAAGTGGATTTCATAACTTGTTCCGAAGAAACTAGAAATGTGAGTGCCAGAGTCCAAAGGCCAAAGAATGTGCAGTCTCATATCAAGAGTAGCAGGAACAGAAAAAAAATACCAGTTCTAGGAAGAGAACAAGAAACAGGGAGGGACAGAGGGAGGGAAAGAGAAAGAAAAAATAGAGAAAAGAAAGAGAGTATAAATTCTTCTTTCTGCTTTTCTTTTTTTTCTTAGTCCTTAGCAAATTGAATGGTGCTGTCCACATTTAGGTTCAGTTTTCTCCACTTGTTTGTGGACTCAAAATCTAATAATCTCTAGAAATACCTTCACAGACACACCCAGAAGTAATAATTTATAAATTCTCTAGGCATTCCTCAAGTCTCTAGGCATTCCTCTTAAGTCAACACCTAAAACTGGCTACCACTGTCAATGTTATCTTTCATCAGAAAGGATTTTATTTCATTTTTTACAGGCATTTGAAGGAGCTAACAATCTGAAACTTGAATATTTTTGACTGTTAAGCTGACTCATTGATTATAACCTTTGTCATTCCTCCCAGGGTACAGCCAGGTTACATACCAACGTGAGAGTTTTCTTTCAGTGGGATTGAATCAGTATTAGGAATTATTATTATTATTTTATTTATTTAATGAGAAAAAGGAAAAAAAACAGAAAAAGGGTACAAGTAATATAAAATTTAAAAAATAAAAAGTAAGAAATCACTAGTTAATAGTTTACATATTCTCATCTTAGAAATAGTTGTTCAAGTTACAAAATTGAAGCACATAAAGTGGACTTTCAAACATTGAGAGTGCAAACAGTTTTGTTCAATGATCCAAAAAACACTCAGTAATAAGGTTATCTATCTTATACACTTAAACATATATGCAGTTATAACCTTTAGAACACTTTCTTTTTTTTTTTTGTAGAATGTCAATTACACATTTTGGGTTTTATTACTCCCACAGTTCTTATTACTTTTTTTGAAGAGAGTAAAACCAAATGCGACATATCAGAACAGAGTCAGTCAAATCAAAAGGATGATAATGTAAAAACAAAATATAAGGTGATCAACAATGGTTACCATACTGACTCTTGCTATTTTAAGAAGAATTGGCAGTTATAATAAAATTGAACTAAACAGGAAAGAATAAAACCAAAGCATTGGAGACATTACAGGACTTTAAAAGAAGAAAATAGTCAATGGGAATGGGCGTCATAATGATTCTTATTGTCTTCACAGTTATGCCTATACTTTCGATCTTGGTATTATCAAGCAAAGCAGAATAGAGGAAAATCAGTCAAAACAAGATAGTGAGGGCAATACAGGATTTCAAATCAAGTTAATAGGAAATCAAAGTAGGTTACTATAATGTATCCTGCTATTTTTTATTTATTTTTCCCTTAATTAAAAAGATAAAAAGAAAAAAGTAAATAATTTTTTAAAAAGGGGGAATTGAGATAAAAGAGGGCATAACAACAGAACAGCGCAGGTCAAATCATAACCATTTAAGCAAAACAGTGTTTCACCACAAGATATCCTGACATAAAAATAGTTACCATAGTGTCTCTTTCCTTGAAATCTTTGAGTATAAATTCTTATACTGTAGCACCAAATATATCAAGACACTATAAAACCATTCAAGAGAATGACATTATTACAGGGTATGTAGAACCAATTGACAGAAAATGAACAATGATTTCTATATAAACTCCTTGTCTATAAAAGTTTTTGCTTATAAGTATTAGGAATTATTGTAATTTTTCTTGTTCAGATCCTGCAGTCTTTGAGAAGCATTAACAGTAATAATCAGTATTTCTTCATTAGCACCTGCTCTCTTCTCTTTCAAAATTTCTGAAAGTCCTCTGGAGATGTGTCCCCCAATGATTCCCAACCTCATCCTGTCTACCCTTCCTGAGTTTGGTGTCTTCTACTAACTTTCTTCAGGTATCAGTGCTACCATGGGGGGGCGGTCATGTGCTGCGCTCTGTCTCCTGTGTAAACATGGTTAATGCTGCTTTGACTGCTGCTATTGATGAGACAGTTGACATCTACTCTAGGAAACTGTTGTGTTCTTACCAACAGTATTAGTGAGACGTTCAGCAGAAGCTGAGCTTGCTGCTGTCATGCCCTTGGCACTGGTAGTATCACCTTTTGATATTTTATCACTACCCTGCCCTTACCTTGTTATACTGTTGGTACTTTGTTAAAGTGGGCAGAATCCCTTTCCCCTCTTTACACTGCATGTTCCTGCAAGGTAGTAAATATAAATCTTTTTTCCCAAAAAGATCGTTCTTTGACTTTTGTTCATATTCCTTATAGTTCTTAGATCTACACATGAGTTTTGAAAGATGGAAAAAAAAGATAAACTTTATGGCTAATATTAAGCTGTACTAGATATTGTACTTACAAAATAGCAAGGCCTAAAAGAGTTCATATCAAACTTACGTTACTGATTACATTAGAGAAGAGAAGGGGATGATGTTAGATGTAATTATCAAGAGGTACTTTTTAACTTTTCTATAATTCTTTTCTAGGTGTTTTTTGTTATTTGTTATTTTTTCAAAAATTCTTAAAATTCAGCACCCGCCTGGCAAGTGTGAGGCTGTGAATTCAATTCCTGATATAAAAAATAAAATAAAATAAATCAACCAAACTTTATGAAATGTAATTTTATAGAAAAAAACTACATTTGTCTTCCATTTTCTTTGTCTTTATCCTAACAACTGTTGATTGTTATTTATACTAGACTTTAGTTCTTGATGCTTTCTTTTAGTCAACTTCCCCATCACTTAGACAAAATATCTGAGATAAGCAGCTTAGAAGGAGGAAGTTTATTTTGGCTCGTAGTTTCAAAGGCTTTAGTCAGTGGTTGGCTTTGTCGACCTCAGGCTTACGAGACAGCATGGCTAGGAGTATGCGGCTGAGGAAACTACTCACCAGAGAGCAACAGGAGGGAAGAGCAAGCGTCCAATATCCCTTTCAAAAATTTGCCCCGAGTAATCTAACTCCTTCCTCTAGGTCCTGTCCTAAATGTTCTCCCACTCCCAGTAGCCCTGCAGACTGGTGACCAAGCCTTTAACAGATATGCCTTTATTCAAACCCTAATACTTTCTTGACAGTAAATCCCTTCCAGAGAACATCTCAGTATGTCATCAAAAGAGATACCTGATACCCTGCTCTGACATTCCTCAGTCATGACCCTACTTGTCATAGTTCTGCTTATCCAAATTTCAGTGGCTCAAGTACGTAAAATAGCAAAATAAGTATCGGTGAATTCTGAATGAGGGAGGAGGAAGAAAAGGAGGAGGATACTTCTAGAAGAATTTCTTAAGTGGTTCTCAAAAGAGACAAGTAGGATAGACCAAAGAGTGGCCTATGTACATAGATAGGAGAGAAAGAGAGAGAGAGAAGGAGAGAGAGGGGAGAGGAGAGAGGAGAAAGGGTAGAGAAGAGAGGAACTCTGTATTAGCAATACCAGATGTAAGGGAAGTAAATTTCTTATAACCATGTATCTGGATCAATTCTTGCTGTGTAGCAATTCTAAAACTTAGTGATGTAAAATATTAGCCATTGTTATAGATCGTATATCTATGGAGTGGCTGAACCACACAAGTTATTGAAAATACTTGTATGCCTCTATGAATATATAAAATTTCGGTTTTAATGATGTCTAATTTAGCTGTTTGTTGTTGCTGTGACCTTTGCTTTTGGTGTCATACATAGAAAACCCATAGGCAAACCCAAGATTGTGAAAATTGCCCCTAATGTTTTTTTTTGAAGAGTTTTTATAGTTTAATTTTGGTATTTGGATCATTTGAATAGATTTTCCATGTGATGTAATGTGAGGCTCTGACTTCCTTATATTGAAAGTGAACTCAGGCAGCATTTGTAGGATTATGTGTTTTCAATCCATTCTGCCAATCTTTGCCTTTGCATTACAGAGTTTAATTCATATATACATAAAGTAAATACTGAGAGGGAAGGACTTTTAATTCTACTATTTAAGTATTTGTTTTCTGTGTGTTCCACCATTATCTTTTTTTCCTTAGTTGATTTGTAGTACACTACAGGTTGAATATCTCATCCAAAAATGCATGGAATCAGAAATGTTTGATACCTGGAAGTTTTTCAAATTTTAGGATATTTCCATAGACTTTACTGATTGAGTATCACTAATCTGAAAATCTCAAATCTGAAATTATCCAGACTTTTTGAGGTTCATGTCAATGGACAGTTTCAGATTTCAGATCCTATGTTTTGATTCCTTTCTTCTTTCCTTTATATGTTTTGTAGGTTTTATTTTTAGTGGTTGTGTTGGGAGTTACAACTATCACCTTACTCCATTCTTCTTTTTATATTTGTAGTCACACATTATATCTTTATACGTTGTGTGCCCATTAATATAATTATAATTATTGTGTTATGCAGTTGTCTTTTGAATGACACAGCATTAAAAAGAGGAGTTGCAAACCAAAAGTATAATAATACTGACTGTTGTATTTCTCTAGTTACATTTGCCGGTGTTCTTTATTACTTTCTAAACCATGTGTTACATAACCTTTATTACATTATATTATACTGTTTATAAATATGTTTTATAACTGTTAGATGGTGTTCCTTAAAGATAGAAACAGTTTCTTAAGAATCTTTGTGTATCTGCAATTAAATACTGCCTTGGAACATAGTGTTCAATAAATGTTGTTTTAATTAATATTTGAATGTGGAGTTAATATAAGCTTATTCCATTAAGATTGCATTTGGTTTTGTTTTAAAGTCTCCGTTCCTAAGACTTTAATAAAGGCATTGTAGTAGTTATAATAATCATTAAATGATAATGAACAAATGGTAGTAAACATTAATATAGCTCATAAGGAAGCAATACAATGTGTTATTGTAGTCATAAGTTATTAAAGGGGTTTTAGAAGAGAACACTCCATCCCTAATAGCCTCTTATGCTTTATATAATATGTAGTAGAACATAATAGATTGAGGACTAGCTTATATTGAATGTGTTGGCTGTTACTCTTTGTATTCATTTTCTTTTGCTGTGTAGTACATTACAACACAGTAACTTAGAACAACACCCATTTATTATCTCCATGGTCATGAGTCTTGACTTGGCTCAGCTGAGTCCTGTATTCAGGTTTTTATGACTGCATTCTCATTTGGAGCTTGGGATCCTCTTTCCTGTGCCTTCAAGTTACTGGCAGAATTCAGTTCCTAGTAGTTGTAGAATTAAAGTTTGCTGTAATGCATCCAGAAACTGCACTTGCTTCGTAGAGGCTGCTTAAAGTCCCTTGAGTGTAGCCAATTCATAGGCCCTCTCCCCGTGGCAGTTTACTTCTTCAGGGGCACCATGGTGCTTTGTAGCACCATGAGCCAAAACAGGCTTTTTGAGAACTTGTATTCATAAGAGTAACTTCATGTCCTTTTGCCATGTCACATGACTTAATCAAGTAAGTGGCTATTTGGTAACCTTTCCTATATTCTGTTGGCTAGCAGCAAATCACAGGTCCTGCCCTTACTCAAGGAAGAGAATGGGAAAAAGGTGTGAGTCCCTGGGTATAATGTTAGGCTGCATCTGCCATCTTCATCTCTGTAAAAAAATGGTGATGCGTTAAATGATTTTTGAAAATAGTGTCTACAAAACTATGCTTCAGATTATTGGACTTTAAACTAGGCTTTATAGTTTAAAATGGAAGTTATTTTAAGTGAAAATTTAAAATATTCTATCCCATAGAAATGAAACAACTTATTTGTGCAGTATTTTCCCTATTTCATTTGACTTTACATTTAAAAAGGTTCAGATTGTGTTAGAGTTAGAAAAGTGATTTGAATGGGGAAGTTATGATATTAATTTTTTCTTAAATTTAGGAATGATTATTGAAGTAAAAATTAAATACAGTTTAAAATACTAACTTAAGACTTTTGAGTCTCAATAGCAGAGTCTGGCTTTTAGAGACGCAGAAAAATGAATGTTAGAGCCAAAAATATGACTTCTTTGGCTGTGACCAGGATTTCCTCTTCCCACCTTGGGGACTAGAAAGTAAAGGTAGGAAAATTTCATTTTGGAGCCAAGTGTGACTTGTTTAGTTCAAGTCATAATTTATTGCACATACCTCAGGGGCCTAAAAATAAAGAAACCCACTATGAAATGTTGATAATGGACTACTCTGAAGGGCAGGCATTAAGCTAACTTTCCCAGTGAGGATTTTTTTCACTTCCTCCTTTCCCAGATGCTTCTGATCATTCTATAAGAACATACTACTTAGTCACATGATAGTTTAAAAGATAACTTTCTATGTACCAAACCAAAGGATTTGAGGGGCATGAGAGTGAACCAAGACTTTTATACAACTAGAAAAGTATAACTAAAAGGAAAGTTATTTTCTTTTAATGCAATTAAGTTACAGTATATAACAAAACAGCCTTTCTAGTGGGCTTCTAAAGCAAATCTTTTGTCCAATTACAGCTACAAAAGCCTGCAACATTATAATTCAGTTATCCACATCTCAACATGGAAGTAGTTTGTGAGACACAATAAAACATAATGTTTAGATTTTAAAATTATGGGTTTTTTCTTGTATTCTTTAGGATGATTTGCTAATAAAGAGAAATATTCTCCCATTGTGATGATTGTGCTTTTACTTGTCTGAGGAGAAAATCGTAAACAATGACGTGTTTAAAATTTTGTTTTTTATTTTCTGAATAAAATTTTTTAAATGAAAGGACAAGTAACCCGTCTCAGAATTTTTAAGGTGAGGTAACAAGACTAGGTTTGCAGTATTATAAACAGAGAGTACAAAATGGATCAACAGAGTATCTCACATAAACTGTACATAGAAGATTTAAGGATAGAAGGTTCTCCTATAAATTCCATAAAAACACGGAGCACTTCACAAATTTATATTTCATCCTTGCTTAGGAGCCATGCTATTGTTGTCTATGTTGTTCCAGCTTTAGTATATCTGTTGCTGAAGAGAGAACAATAATTTTTATACTTTAAAAATATTTAAATGATATGTTAACTCTTTTTGTTTTGGCTTCATAAAAATTGATGATAGTCTCCATTATCAGAAGTGTTCTTACAATAAGTAAAATAATTTGGGAAAATAAACTGTATTTGTGTGTGTGCTTATATGTGTGTCTTGCAGGGTCTTGCAGTATAGTACAGACTGGCCTTGAGATCACTGTGTAGCTCAGGTTGGACTTGAACTCATGGCAGTCCCTTGTTTCAGTCCCTAGGATGCTTGGATTACAGGTGAATGCTACCATCTGTGACTTAAGGTCCTAAACTTTACTTGTATAATTTTTTTTTTATAAAGTGTTTGTGTTACTGGAGATTGAACCTAGAAACTCCTACATACTCAGCAAACACTCTACTCGTAGCACCCAAAATAGTTCATTTGGAAATTGTTAATAATTCATTTAGCAATCTGAATATGTTAGCATTGGTGTGTAATAACTATTGTAAATTTCTTTTTGAATTGATTCATCTACTTGGGAATTATGTTTTTATCAAATTATGGTAATAAGCTTGAGTGTTTCACCATTTATTTTTGCATTTTTATTGGTACATTTTATATATGCATAATGAAAACATTAATCATAAGGGATCTGTATCAGTATATATCTTGCTTTTTTCCCATTCCTCCCCTGTCTCCAACCTCTTTTCCCCTCCTTATTTACAAAAGCTTTGTTTCCATTTTTTCCTGCTATTCCCTTTTTTCTCTTATCTCTTTCTTTCCTTCTCCCCCTCTTTGTTCCCCTTCTCATTCTCATTTTCTTCCCATTTCCCAACACCTATTATGCATTTTAATCCTTATTTACACTATTGGTTGCTCACACCAGAAAAACAATGTGGTATTTAAATGTGTATATCTGATGTATTTCACGTAAGAGTATGGTCTCAAGGTGCATCCGTTTAGCTAAAAATGTCTCAAGCTTATCCTTCTCTATAGCAGAGTAGTACTCCAGTGTAAAAAAAAAAAACCCACTATTACATCTTCTTTATCCATTTATCATCAGTTGATGGGAATTTGGGCTGTTTCCAAGATTTGGCTATTAAAAACTGTGTCACTATACACATGGGTGGGCATATATTGCTTTGGTATGATGCTTTTGTTTCTTTCTGGAATATACAAAAAGGGCATAGTTGGATCAAATGTAACCTCTAGTTTTAGTTTTTTGAGGAATCTCCACAGTGATTTCCACAGTGGTTGCACCAATCTACACTCCTGCCAATAGTGGAGAAGGGTTCTTTTTTCCCCACATCCCACCAGCATTTGTTATTGACTAATTTCTTGATAATAGCCATTCTCTCTGAAGTGAGATGGAATCTCAGCATTAATTTGCATCACTCAAATGATCAGTGATGTTTTTTTTTTTTTTTTACATTTTTTTTTGGTTATTTCTTCTTCATCTGACAACTGCTTATTCATTTCAGGTGCCTGTTTTTGGAGTGTGTCTTTAAATTTGGGGGAGTCAGTGTTTTGAATTCTTTATATAGTGAACTTGTGATGATTATCCTGCCTCAGCCTCCCAAGTGCTGGCATTACAGGTAGCACCAGCATGTCTGACTTCTGTATTTTCTAGATATTAGTCTTTTCTCTGAGGAACAGATGGCAGAAGTTGTTTCCTACACTGTGGGTTGTCTCTTCACTCTGTTGGTTGTTTCTCTTGCTGTGCAAAAACTTTTTAATAAGATGAGATCTCAATTGTGGATTATTTGTGATATTTCCTGTGCAATCAGAGTTTTGTTCATAGTCTTTGACTGCACCAATGTCTTCAAGAGTTCTGTGTATTTTATCTTGCAGCAGATTTAGTGTTTCTGTTTAATATTTAGATTTTTGATCAATTTTAATTTCAGCTTAGTGAATGGTGGAAGATATGAGTCTAGTTTTAATCTTTGACATACGAAAAGCCAGTTTTTCCAGCACCATTTATTAAAGAGGGCATCTTTCTTCCAGTGAAGGTATTTGGCTCCTTTGTCAATGATAAGGTGGCTAAGTATGTTTGCAGTTGTGCTGCATCTTCTGATCTGTTGCACTGATCCTCAGGTCTGTTTCTTTGCTAGTACTGTGCTGTTTTTATCACAGTAGCTTTGTAGTATAGTTTCAAGCTAGGGATTATGATGTCCCATGCCTTGCCTTTATTGTCTAGAATTGCCTTTGCTATTCTAGGTCTCTGGTTCCAAATGAATTTTAGGATTTTCTGTAATTCTGTAAGATTTGCTATTGGGGTTTTAGACAGGATCACATTAGGGCTGTACAACAATTTTGGAAGTATGGCCATTTTCACTATATTGGTTCTTCCTACCCAAGAACAAGGAATATCTTTCCATTTTCTGATATCTTCTTTGATTTTTTTCAGAGTACTGTAGTTTTCAATATAGAGATCTTTTACTGCTTCCTTAGATTGATTCCTAGGCATTTTACTTTTTTTGGATGCTATTGTGAAAGGTGTTGTTTCCTTACTTTCTCTCAGTGAGCTTGTTATTCGTGTACAGGAATGCGATTGAGTTTTCAGGGTTAACTTTGTATCCAGCTGCAATATTGAATTTGCTTATAAAATCTAGAACCCTTTTGGTGGAGGTTTTGGGGTCTTCTCTCTGAAATATTATGTCATCTGCAAATAATGATAATTTAACTTCTTTTCGTTTCCTTATTTATTTCCTTCTCTTCTCTAATTGCTTTGGTTAATGTTTCCAGAACTATATTAAATAAGACTGGTGACAATGGACATCCTTGTCATGTGTCTGATTTTAGAATGAAAACTCAAGGGGCTGGGGATTTAGCTCAGCGGCATAAGTGCCTGCCTTGCAAGTAGGCAGTTGTGAGTTCGATCCCCAGTACTGATAAAAAAAAAAAAAAAGAATGAAAACTCAGTTTTTGTCCACTTAGTATGATGTGGCTATTGATTTGTCATAAATGACTTACCAGATTGACATATGTATCATCTGTTTCAGTTTTCTGTAGGATTTTATGATGAATGGGTGTTGAACTTTGTCAAATGCTTTTTCTGTATCTCTGATCATATGGTTTTTGTCTTTGACTCTGTTGATATGGTATATTTATGAATCCTACTTGGTCGTGGTATTTAATTTTGATGATTTGCTGCATTCTGTTTTACAGTAAATTAGGGTGGACTTTTTGTCTGTATTCATTAAGGAGATTGACCTGTAGTTGTCTTTTATTTTTTTTATTTTTTATTTTTTTGTCTTTTTCGTTTTTACCGGTACCGGGGATCAAACTCATGACTGCCTGCTTGCAAGGCAGGCGCTTATGCCGCTGAGCTAAATCCCCAGCCCCTGTAGTTGTCTTTTTTGGTTGGATTCTTCTCAGATTTTGGTATCAGAGTAATGTTTGCTCCCCAGAATGAATTGGGAGTTTTATTTCCGTTTCAGTTTCATTAAACAATTTAAGGAGTAGTGGCATCAGGTCGTCTCCAAATTTCTTGTAGAATTCAATGGTGAGTCCTTCAGGGCTAGGCCTTTCTTCATTGATAGGTTTGTATTTATTTATTTATTTATTTATTTATTTATAAGAGTAGGAAAATTTATTGGAGAAAAAAAGTGGGGAATAGGAATAGATCTTGAAAGATAGGCAATGTCTCAATTTCTCAATTGGATTGCCCTGTTGATAGGTTATTAGTTGCATCTTGTTTGGTTTAATTTAGAATTTTTATATCTTCTTCGTTCAGTTTTGGTAATTTGTATGTGTCTAGGAATCTGTCCATTTCTCTTGAGCTTTCCATCTTATTAGAGTATAGGTTCTGGAAGTAGGCATTGATGATTTAATTTCTGTAGGATCTGTTGTGATTTCACCTTTTTCATTCCTAATTGCATGGATTTAAGTCTTTTCTTTTTTTGATAAAGTTAGCCAAGAGTTTGTCAATTTTATTTAATCTTTCAAAGAACCAACTTTTCAATTGATTGATTCTTTGTATTTTTTTAGTTTCCATTGTATTGATTTCTGCTCTGATATTTATAATTTCCTTCCTTGCATGAGCTTTGGGCTTGACTTGTTCCTTTTTTTCTAGAAGCTTGAGGTTCAACATTGTTCATTTAAGCTCCTTCTATTTTCCTGATATTGGAATTCGCCACTATAAATTTCTCTTGTAGGACTGCTGTCATTGCATCCCATAAGTTCTGGTATGTTGTACTGGCCTTATTGCTTAACTGTAGAAACTGTCTAATTTCTTGTTTAATTTCAGATGTGACCCATTCATTGGTTGTTCAGGAGGGTGTTCTTTAATTTCCATGTGTTTATGAAGTTCTTTTGTTTTCATTATTGATTTCCAACGTAATTGTAATGTGGTTTGATAATATGTGTGTGGTAATTTCAGTTCTTTTGCATTTACTTAAGCATATTCTATGAGCTAGTATGTGGTCTATTTTGGAGAATATCCTGTGTGCATTTGAGAAAAGTATGTTCTGACACTGTGAGGTGGAATACTGTAGACACTACTGAGCCCATTTGTTCAGAAGTTTGTCTAGTTCTGATATTTATTTGTTGTTTTTTTTTTGTCTAGTTGATCTGTTTATTTTTGACAGAAGGATACTAAGATCCCCCATTACTGTGTATTAGTACTTATTTGATTTTTTGTGTACATTAATATTTGTTTTATATAGTTGGGTGTGCTGGTGTTTGGTGCACAGATGATTGTTGCCTCTTCCTCTTGGATTATTGCCTTGACAAAAATGTAGTGACCTTTGTCAGTTTTGGCTTGAAATCCACTTTGTCTGCAAATATACTAGCTGCCCCTGCTTTTTTCTTCTGAGTTCCTGTCACATGGAATGTTGTTTTCTACCCTTTGAGTTTCAGTCTGTGAATTAATTTGTGTTTCTTATATGGAGCATGTGGTTGGATCTTGCTGCTGCTGCTTTTTCTTCTTGTCTTCCTTCACCTTCTCCTCCCTGCTTCTTCTCCTCCTTCTCCTTTTCCTCATTCTCCACCACCCCCTTTTCCTCCTTCTCCCCCTTTTCTTC